ATTGTTTATGTGGTTTATGCTTAAAGATGAATTCTTTTTGGCTATTTTCAAAAACACCCTAAACACCCTATCATAGAGTCACCCTAGGGACACTGAGGAAGATATTCAGAAAGAATGTATGGGCAGCTTTTCAGAGGTGAATTGTAGGGTTCAAACTGGGTAAAAGTCTTAAAATGCAGTAATCAGTGAAAAGCCACAACAATTTAAACTGTAAAACGTGGAAATGTGAACATGGTGTAACTTAGACAATAAATCACTGCTGTAACTTAGAAATTGAGTCAAAACTTAAGATTCTAATACCTATAAAAGCCAAAACAAGAATATTATGACTGGGACATGACCAATACACAAACTTATGTTTGGGCATAACTTTGGGCTTAACTCCTAAACTCATTACTAATCAGAAAACCAAAAATATTCACTAAGCAGTGATGCACTCTACTTCCTCTGGTCTTCGTCTGTTTTCTGTAATTACCAGAAGGATTTTAGGGTTCCAAAGCTGGGATCCAAGAAATTGTCTGGCTGCCACCCCAGACCGAAGACTGCACCCCTGTTATTAAGTATTCAAAATGAATGATTAAACTACTACCTATAATTAATATGAAGATACTTGGCCTCTTTTTTTGGTATTAAAAAGAACACCCCATGGTTATGGGGAAGGTAGAGGTTCCCTAGTCAGGGGAGTTCTGGACCTTACAATATGTGGTCATTTATTTTGCTGGACTATATATAGTATTTTTCCCAAGAGGTGTGGAGATAAAGAGAGAGAAAAAAAACAAATCTTGATCATTAAAAAATACAAATATATATATATATATGTAAATAGGAAAAATGTGAGCTTTTTAAGATGAAGAGGATTTCTCACCTTCTGTTTGCATCCTCAGTACCTAGAACATATTTCAGTTAAAAAAAAATCCTAAATGATGTGGATCCATTACTAAATTTGAAAAAACTTTTGATACAAAAATATTTACATTTTTCATGTTTACATCTCATTCCACTTGGATGTCTTTTCAAACTTTGCTTAAATTGGTTCTTCCCTCCATTAATTTTTCTATTTTATGAGTTAGAAATGGAAGATGAGATGTCAAGCTCAGATTGATGAAAACTCAGAAAATGAGCAGTACGACAAAAATACAAGAGGAGAGGTCAACAGCGTTCAATAGAGCAGACAGATGAAAAAGGATTAGTACTAAGAGGCCATCTGATTTAGGAATTAAGAGATCACTAGTAAATTTAGAGAAATCAGTCAAGGACCAGAACTCAGCAGAAATTGTAAAGCTCAAATGTAGGAATGAAGAGGAACATTAAAAAAAAATGAATAAAGAATGATAAAGGTCTAAACAAGGATTAATGTTTTTTTCCCTCTCTGTTCTCAACTGAGGAGGAATGGTGGAAGATAGGGTGAGAAAGTGGATTTTAGCTGACTTTAAAAACTGAAATTTTTTTAAAATAAAAAAGATAAATGCCCAATTAAAAATGTTCTTCAGGGAATCAACACATAAAATGATATGCACAAATAACCAAGTTGACAAAATTAGGTAAGTGTAAAAGAAAATCATTAATAATACTTGATCTTGTACTTCTAGGTGATGTAAGCAAATACGATGGCAAGCTAGACATTTTTTTCCAATCCCCCAAACCTCTCCCAAACAGAAACAGTGTACCAAATGCGGAATAACTTCAGCTGCTTCCACTGTCAAGGAAACTCAGAATGCAAAAGCCTTCTAAAAAACCCAGGAACTGTACCTAAGCTCATTCAGCACCCCTCCCCCAGCTTGCAAGAAAAACTAAACCCTCAATTTTGGCCAACCCTCCCTCATTTCAGTCCAGTGGAAGTTCCAACCTTGAGGATGCAGTATTTTGTTTGGGCCTTAGCAATAGAAACTGTGAAAAAATTTTCAAGCAAGTTTCTCTGATAAAGGCCTCATTTCTCAAACATAAAGAGAACTGAGTCAAATTTATAAAAATAAGAGCCATTTCCCACCAGATAAATGATCAAAAGATGATAAGTTTTTAGATGAAGTAATCAAACCTATCTACAGCCACATGAAAGAATATTCTAACTGACTACTGATGGGAGAAACGCAAATTAAAACAATTCTGAGGTACTATTTCATACCTCTTAGATTGGCTAATAGGATAGAAAAGGTAAATGACAAAGGTTGGAAGGCATGTAGGAAAAATGAGATATTAATGGCCTGTTGGTGGAGTTATGGATGGATTCAACTATTCTATAGAGAAATTTGGAGCTATGCCCAAAGGACCATAAAACTATGCATATCCTTTGACCTAGCAATACCACTGGCAGGTCTGTATTCCAAGAGATTTAAAAACAAAAAGGAAAAAGGAAAAGGGAAAAGGATCTATACGTACAAAAATATGTAAAGCAGCCCTTTTCCAGGAGTAAAGAATTTAAAATTAATAGGATGCCCATCAACTGGAGAATGTTTAAACAAGTTGGGGTATGTGATTATGATGGAATACTATTGTACTATAAGAAATGATGAGCAGGATGCTCTCAGAAAAACCTGGAAAGACTTGCATGCACTGATGCAAAGTGAAATGTACTGTGAACAAGGTAACAGCAGTATTGTGTGATGATCAAATATGAATGACTCAGCTATTCTCAGCAATACACTGATCTAAAACAACTCTGAAAAACTTATGATAAAAAATCCTACCCATTCCCAGAGAAAGAACTGAAGGTGTCTGAGTACAGATTGAAGCATACTTTCTTTTAACTCTATTTTTATTGAATTTTTTTTGTCTATCTTTTTTTTCACAACATGACTGCTATGGATATGTTTTGCATGACAACAAATGTACAATAAATTGTATATAAATGTATATAAAATGAATTGCTTACCTTTTCAATAGAGGGGGTGGGGAAGTGGGGTTAATGGGGGACAGAGGAAGGAGAGAATTTAGAACTCAAGGTTTTAAAAACAATTGTTAGAAATTGTTTTTACATATAACTGGGGAAAAATAAAAAAATAAAATAAAATATTAAAGAAAGGATGATAGGAGGACAATTTCATTGATTTAGTGTATTTTAATGAACTTCCTTTGCTATCTTTACCCAACTTTTTGCTTCTGTAATTATACTTTTGTTAACATAACAATGTTGCGCTTTCTCAAATTATCACGCTGTTTAAATCCAGGGATTTATACACCCTGAATGCCGCTTAATTCCAGTAACTCTCTAGAAATGCTGGATACGGGTCTAAGGTATTTTGGGTTCTCCCACGTCCTAGATCTACACCAAACTTTCTTATTTTGGATTATCCCAGCTAGGACTTGTTTTGGATCCATATTTTGGATGGTTTTGTATTTTGGTCAAATTGCTCTCTTGGCAAAACTGCTTCTGTGTTTCAGCTGTGAGCACCCTTGTCTAAATTCTAAAAAATATAAAATATAAAAAATATAAAACTTTCCAGAGCTTAGATCCTTTGTCCTTTCTGACAAGTTCTTCTTCACCAAATGACCTAATAAATTTCTTCCTAAAACTCTCAGATTTTGGGGTTTGTTCTTGCAGCCAATAGTATCCTTTTCCTTTTATCTCTTTGGCATACTGACCTACTACAGTGCCAGCGTATGCACAATTTTATGAATTTTTGGGCAGAAAACAAACTGTTCCCCATAATAGTAGAATGAGATTATAACTCCAACACATTAGTGTGCCTATTTTTCCATATCCCCTCCAGTACTTTTCTCTTCTGTCATATCAGGCAATTTGATGAGTATTATTTTAATTTTCTTTTCTCTAATTGTGATTTAGAGTTTTTCTAATATGACTATTGATAACTTTGATTTTCTCTTCTCTTTCAATTGCCTTTTATAATCATTTGACCATTTATCTTATTTTTATAAATATGCCTCAGTTACCTCTGTGTGCGTGTGTGTGTATGAGAAATTAGTCCTTTAAAAAAAGTGTGGAAAATTTTTTTCCTTCTAATCATGACTGCATTGGTTTTGTTTGTGCAAAAATTTAATGTAAAACTTATCCATTTTATCTCCCATGAGCCTGTCTATCTCTTGTTGGTCATGAACTCTTCCTTTACATACAGATGTGACAGACAACTTTTCCCATGCTCCCCTAATTTGCAACCTTTATGTCTAAATGATACGCACATTTTCACCTTCTCTTGGTACAAGAAAAACTTTTAGTAAAGTTAGTAAAACCTCCCAGAACAATTTAGGCAACAACAATACTACAAAGATAAAGAATTCTGAAAGACTTCCTATCAATGCAATGACCCACTATAATTCCAAAGTATCAGGATGAAACATGCTATCTAACTTCAGATAAGTAGCTAATGGATTCAGAATGCAAATAGAGCATTTTTCTTTATTTGCTTTTTGTATGTGGCTAAATGCTAGAATTTCTTTCGCATTATATTGTGTGCGTGTGTGTGTGTGATGGGCTTTATTTTTCTTGCCTTCCCAATGTGTGGGTGGGGTGGGGAAATGAGAGATTTTGAAACTGAAAATAAAATAAAATATTTTAAAGGACAGTTATTTGCTTCTTCTTATATCTACTCTAAGAACCACCCTATTTCTTTTGGTGCCTTTTAAAACTATCTACTATTCTGTACCATATCACTGGATTCTGTTAATATTACTTTGTATTAGTGTTTCTATGTTATTAGCCACTACTTGTTCCATTCTGCATATCCAAGTCAAGAATGATTATTATAAAATCAATCAAGTCAAGGAAGCTAAATGGAAACAATCAGTATTCAAAATGTGGGATTTACCTTAAGATGGATTTTAACTAGTTGAATGGGGGGGGGGGAAGGCACATATTGACCTTAGCTTGCTCAACTTATTAAGACTTGTGATGGTGTTGTAAGAGGCATTTATTGAAAATGGTGAGAAGAGAAAGGAAAGAATCCCATCACTGACAAATTGTCAAAACATATGACTTAAAAGCAAATCTCATAATTCCTAACATATGTTTAATCTATCACTTGCTCATGGTGTTTTTTCTTACTCACTTGATCAAATACACATCATACTTTCCAGCTGAACGACCTGATTTCCTCTGCTTAAGTTTACGGGTCCATCCTTCAGGTAAGGTAGGATCTTCATACATAGGTCCTCTGTCTCTGATAATGGAACGCCTTTGTTTGGGGGAGGCAGAGGCTTCAGGAACAGGGGGAGCTGACCTGACTATTTCGGAAGTGTCCACTTTCCCTCCTTCCATTGGCAGAACAAACTGATGTGAAGAAGCATGTGGCAACTCATGCTTTTCCTTTTCTTCTGCTTTCTCTTCTTCTCTTTTATCTTTCACCTTTTTGGATTTCAGTTCCTGCAGTTCTTGTTCTTCTGACTTCTCTTCCCTGAAGAATAAAAAATAACACAAACATCAGAAAGAACAACACACTATTTGGAATTTCAGAATTACATATTTTGGAGGAAAGCATAATCTCTTGCTGCTGCCCAGATTCAGAAAGAATGTGTACTTGTCTTATACAAGACAAATCTTCTGTCAAATCTTTGTCATATTACACTGATTAGAAAATGGAAAACCTATGAAAATGTAAAACTCAGCTTTAAATTTTCCACGTAATTTCTTGAAAACACTATACCATTCAGCAATAATGTTTCCCTTTCATATTCCCATTCTACAACTAACATCCATATTAGTATTGAAGAAATCTGGATATGAATGACAAGCCACAATGTTTCTTTTTCCTAGACAGAAAGTATTTTAACTTCTAAGAATATATTTTGTTGCTATTACTGTTACTGTGAACTATTGCTATTATCAAGAAAATCACTGACTAGATAGTACTGGATATATAATTACAAAAAATTTAACAGTATTTGTCCCTTAAGAAACCAGTTTCAGCATAAGCAAAAAAATTTTTCTGATACTATCCCAACTGTACTTGAATGCCTTGGAGGGTAAATATGCAATCCCACTGAGGTGTTCAATCATTAACTATGGCAGAGCTGCTTAAACTTAGATCTGAAAATTTGCTGTTTTTATTGTGATAACTGTATTTTAACATAATTGGTTTTCTCTGTAATCCTATTTTGTTATATTCATTTAGATAAATTCTTCTGGGAAGGATTCCTTTTATCTGGATAAAGTCACTTCACTAGACTGCCAAAAGGGTCAGAGATTAAGAATCCCTGGACTAGATCTTCATTTGATTACAACAAGGGATTCTTCTCCAGAATGGATCTGGCTATGCAGATTTTGAAGTCTTTCTAAGTTTTATATTTTGTGATCCTAAACTTCTATGACTTTACAGAAGGTCATCTAACTCATGATAATCAATTAATCATTTAACAAACATTTATTAAGTACCTACTACGTGCTAGCCATTGCTACTCAAAAAAAAAATTAGGTCCCTTCCAGATAGAAATATGTATTACTAAGCTTCTGATATAGATTCTCAGCAAAAGAAATTGAAGAATGGTTGGAGTAGGTACGCAGACAGATAAACATTGCACCAGAAAAGGAATGAGTCACAGAAGCCAAGGAAAGAGAGAATGAATACTCAGGTAGAAGAGTAAGTGCACAGACTCACTACTAGTTAAGAAAAATAATGATTGTGAAAAATCTGTTAGATTTTATTCCAAAAGTTCACTGGTAACTTTCAAAATAGAAGTTTAAGCATAATGTTGATATCAGAAGTCAGATTATATGGGGAAGTGGAAGTGATTTTATACTCAAAGCAGTGAGGATATATGTATAAATAACTTTACTGGTGAAAGAAAAGAAATCACAGAATGATAGCAGCACAGAGGTCAAGAGCTGGAAGGAATCTCAAAAGGCACAGGAAAGTTAAATGACTTCTGCAAGGTTACACTAGAAACAGCATTTAGGACCTCTGAGCCAGTATATTTTTCTCCTACACCACAACAAAAGGATGTATCACAGTCAAGGGTGGTAAAACCCAGGGTTTCAGGGTGACAGAGAATTAAAAAAAAAAAAAGTTCCTTCTTCCTCAGAGCCTGGAATAAATGCAAAGAAACGAATGAAAATGTATGAAGTCAGGAGTAGGGAATATGTGTGAGACCACAAAAAATTCTCTGTGGTTGGATGAGTAAAAGGGTTAGCATAAAGAGTTAAATTTAGGGAAATACAGACTATATGGGTTGGACTACACAGCCACTGAAATTCTATGTAAATAATTAACATGTGTTTAGCACTTTACGACAGGAGAAGAAAGCAGAGAATTCCGCTCTAGACCAGGTGACTGGTCCCTAACCACTGTGAATCCATGCCACCTCAATTCTTCCCGTTTTAAGTCTAGCTCTGGAAACAAAAATTCAATCTACATCACTCTCTCTGACTCCACTCACCATCCCTGACTTCTCTGTCCAAAATAAAACTATCTGGCCACTACTCCATGTAAATTTGCTTCCTTCTTCTATCAGAATGTAAGCTCCTGGGAATGGAACAAATTCTGTATTAATTTCGCTGAATATTAAAAAAAAGCAAGCAGGGATACTAATCATGATCTCAGAAAACCAAAACAGTCAAGGAAAACAGATAAACAGGGAAAATGCATTTTGAATACATCACCACAGATCAATTCCAATGTAACATATAAGCCTAAAACAGCTTGGCCACTAAATAGTTTTGGATAAGCTAAACAATTACAGGGAGAAAAATAATAGCAGAGGGCCACAATATAATACTTTCAAAGCTAGGCAAATCTAACAACAACAACAACAAAAAAGAAAGAAGTCAACAACCTATGTATAATTTTAGAAAAGTTAAATATAATAGGCCTCTGGTAATTAATAAAGGGCAATCTATTTCTTAGCTATGCATGGTTTCTTTTCAATGACCAATTACGCATAAAAATCTCAAAAACAAATGCAGAAAAACAGTAATATTACTATCAACTATGCAATAAAAAATTATTTTCATTAAAGGCCCGCTGAAAAAAGGATTACAAATTAATTAGAAATTACATAATAATAATCTTAAAGAAGAACAAATCAGAAAAACAATAGGTAATTTCATTAAAGATAATTAACAATGAACAACATGATAAAATTTTAGGGATGCAGGGAAAACAGTCCTTAGTAGAAAATTCCTTTTCCTAAACATTTTTTATCATCAAATAAGGGACAGAACATTTGAATTGGGCATCCAAACTGAAAAACCAGAAAAACCAACAGATTTTAAAAACCCAATTAGACACCAAAGTAGAAATCCTGAAAGTAAAGAAGAAATTAACAAAACTGAAAGAAAAAAACCCACTAAATAAAAAAGGAAGAAAGGGAAAGAAAGAATAGAGAGGTGGAGAGAAGGAAAGAAGAGAAGGAAGGAAGAAAAGAGCTGACTTTTTTCCTGAAAATTAATAAAAGTACGGAGGCGGAAGGCTGGCAGAGATAAAAGTGATTTTTATTAATTGGAAAAAATTTTAATTTAAAAAATATAAATTTGCGGAGGATAAACTTCTTTTTTGCATTTGTTTCCATTCTGCTCCAAACAATGTATGGCATTTAAAAAATGTTTTTCATTTACTACATCTTGAATTGGTGATCAATGCAGAGTATTTAAAGATGATATAAACTGTATGAAGTACCACTGCAAGGCACAAAAATTTAACATCTCTCAAATCCCTAGTAAGATGACATCTTCCATAGACTGATACAACAAATCTCCACACATCAAGTGCTGTTTTTCAAACAATGAAAGTTTTGAAAATTTATTTAACGTGTATTTAACTTAAAATATCTTAGAAAACAGGACAAAAGTTAGAGTTAGACCAGTAACTCACAGCATGTGCTAAAATATACTGCAAATATAAATATAAACTATAAGTATAACAGATCAGATGCCACAAAAAATCTAAAAGAACAATTCACAATTGTGGAAAATGGAAGCAAGAACACTCAGTAGACGGAGGGCTGGGCCTAGAGTCAAGAGGATAAGAGTTCAAATTTTATCTCAGACACTTCTTAGCTATGTGACCTTGAGTAAGTCACTTAACCTCTGTTTGCCTCAATTTCCTCATGCATAAAATGGAAAAGATAAAAATAGTATCTACCTCTAGTCCAATATTGTAAGAATCAAATTACATAATTGTAAAGCATTTCGCATAATACCTGGCACACTGTAAACCTTTGTACATATACATAATATAAATAAACCTTCACAGTAAATTTTTCTAACAAAGTTATCATTTCCAAGAAATATAAGGAACTGGTAAGAAGCAGAAAAGAATGGGATGCCCATTAATTGAATATGACTGAAAAACTGAATGTAACATGCATATGAATGTAAGAGAATACTATTTTCCAATAAGAAAAGACAAAAGGATTGATTTTAGAGAAACTTGGGAAGATTTAATATGAACTAATATAAGGAGAATGGAGTAATAAAACCAAGAGAATAATTTATATAATATAACATTAAAAATAACTATTTTATATAAATATCAAAGGATATAAAATGCATTTATTTATGTAAAATTACAGAGTATATATTTAAATTTATTTATATAGCACATACTATGTGTCAGGCACTGTAACATTATTTCATTTGATTTTCAAAACAACCCTCAGAAACAGATGCCATCATTGTATCCCCATTTTATAGCTAAAGAAACAGAAGCAAACAAAAATGACCTGTGAGTGTCTGAGGTCTTCTCCTGAGCAGTGTTTTCTCAAATGTTATTAGTACCCAGAACTTCCCATCCTCTGCTGAGGAAGACTAATAAAATAACTCTTAAGTCATGTGACCTATTCTTATCAGTTTTCAGTCTCTGGCTAAATGAATACAGGTGGGTTTGCTGAGCATGCTAGTTATGAGTTTTTTGTTTTAATTTTTGGCAAAACCCCTCCCTTGGTTTGAAACTTTTGCAGGGTCTACTTTGAGAAATAATGTTCCAGAGTTGGCAAAGCACTTTTTAGGGGCAGTAATTCTTCAGTGGTGAGTGAGCTCTCTCTCTGCTGGTAATAATGTCTTTATTGTATGTTCATCCTTCTTTTTTGTTTTCCCTTATCAATTTGCAGTTAGAAGATCCCTATAGAATGGCTTATGAGCTATAATATGATTATAGTGACTACAAGGTGACATGCTTATATGGTTATCTTATGGATGTTAAGTGCATGATTTTACACCTGTGGCATTCCATAATCTAAATACAAATGGAGGACACGTAAGCAGCTAAGCCATCCTTACATTTTGAATTGTTCTTTATTTTTAGAGCTATTAAAGATTGTATCGCCCCCTGTCTAAAGTGGCATCTATTTAATGGACATTCTCTGCCAGTCAAATAGTTAAATCAGTTTGACAAACATGTATTAAGTCTGGGTTGGTGCTAGGGAAGATCCAAACTTCCTGCCTTCATGAAGCACTCCAGCTAATAACTGTAATCTTCTGTATTTACTTGATAACATGTGGTCAGCAAGAGTATATTGCCAATAGATTTCCACATGTAGCAACATATGTGCCAACAGTGACCATCTTAATTGCACACTTTCCCCTACGACTGCCATACAATGACTGATTACCCTCCCACAGGGAGAAGTGAAAGCTGATTGACTCCTAGGAGGATTGCACTGTATATGTAATGATTACCTACATAAATTCTATATGTACAATAATTTCCCTTTTTATATGTCAAATAAATATTTATAAGTTAAACTTACAAAAATTAAATTATCATAATAGTAATACATTCCTTTAATGTTTCATTGCCTTAATAAAAACTTCATCACTGTTAAAAAAAAAGCGCCAAGTACTACCTTTAAAAATAGACAAGTCATGCATGTGTGTATATATGCATCTACGCATACATACACATATATACATATGTGTAGACAAATATAAATACATATGATGCAAATCTAAACAAAATAAAAACATGACAACTTGCAGAAAAAGTTGGAACTTGACCTGACCTTTGAAAGAAGCCACAAATTCTGAAAGAAGAAGTTAAAACAAGCCGTTAAATAGGATACTGAGTGTCACATTCACAAGAAACCAAAATTATTTTGACAGAACCATGGCCATGAATTGAAGTGAATAATGAATAAAAAGACTAAAAAAGCAGACTGAGGCAAGATTGTAAAAGATTAAAAAAAGTACTTTGTATTTGATCCTAGAAGTAATCATGAAAAAGGATATAATCAGATCTGTACTTTACGAAATTGCTTTTGCAATTACATTAAAGGATGAATTAGGAAGGGAGAAACTGATTATGAAATTATGATGATAATCTGGTTGAAATGCAATGAAGGAGCTACCTATTATTTCTGGCATGTGAAAATGCTTTAAAGGTCATCCAAAAGTATTTCAAAAGAAATCAATTACACCTAAACTAAAAACCTCTGAGAAGAAACTATGGAGATATTTTTAGTAAGAGGGAGGGGCAAGGAGGAGAAAAGAAGGGAAGGAGGGAAGAAGATAGGCAAGCTACTTACCTGAGCCCTAACATCACAGCTACCATGGAATCCTGATGGAGCTGATCTACAGAAGCAAGATGGCAAAATCTGCTGGGGGGAGTCACATGTCACATCAAAACAGGAACTGGTGATTCTGTTTTTTTAAGAACCCTACAACAAAGAAAATGGTAAGTTGAAAGCCTCTATGTGCTGCAAGACTTTCTCATCCTGGGCTACTTAGTACACTCTAAAGGAAAACAGATACAATGAAATCACTGTACTGTAAGTCAAATTGGGATAGCCAGGTGGTACAGTGGATACATCACCAAGCCTTAAGTCAGGATGACCTAAATTCAAATTTGGCTCCAGTCACTAGCTATACAACTCTGGGCAAGTCCCTTAACCCAGTTGCCTCAGTTTACTCATCTGTAAAATAAGCTGAAGAAGGAAATGTCAAACTACTCCAGTATCTTTGCCAAGAACACCCCAAATGGGGTAACTAAAGACATGACTGAAAAGTTGAAAAATGACTAAACAACACAAGTCAAATCAATCAAAAGTATTCATTAAGTACTTTTATGTACCAAGCAAAAACACTGTCAGTTAAACAAGTAATTACTCCTATTAAAAGTAAGTCAAAAGTTTTATCACTTTTGGAGAAATCCTCAAATAGATTATTTTTCTGGAGACGTGAAAGCAAGTCAATCCAGTAAAAGAATGAATAGTGTAAGTGGAGTCTATCTCCTGGGAAAAGGCGTGACAAGAGGATTTCTGACTCAGGACATCTGCTTTGATGAGAAAGACCATGATCAGTAATAAACTCTGGCTTAGACTTCTTGCCATGATAAGAAGACACTTCCCTAGTCTGTTTTGAACTTCTAAAGAAGCTCGAAGGTCATAACACCTGTAGACTCAAGGCCTAGAAAGACGCCACAGCTCTGCTTTGCCCAGCTTTAGCAGGTGTCCTTATCTTTGCCCTTTTTGTTTCCAGATGTGTGTACCCTTATCTTCCCTCCTACTCTCTGTAAAATTCCACTTTTCTATGCTGCTTATGTAGTCACACTTTATATGGGGTTGCTGAAGCTGATGCTCCAGACTCTGACTTTTCATACAGATGAGCCTGCAGTCTAAGAGTAAATAAATTCTGCAGCTATTCTCTGAATGTTGATCCAGCAATTGGTAGCAGTACCTAATCAATGGATCCCTTGTATAATTTTTATCACAATGACACCCCAGATAATAAGATCGATTTCTAGTAATAATCCTCCAACATGCACAAAGTAGATTATACCTAGAGAGATTTATTCACAAGTAGGTGGTGCAGTGGATGGAGTGCTGGCCCAGGAATCAGGATGACCTAAGTTCAACCCAAACCTAATTGCGCTCAAAGAGGACCATGACATCAGGAAGGTGATGGCATAGCTTGCAAATGAATTGGATTAAAGTGAGAGAGTGCTGGGCAAAATTATCAGCTTCATGTTTAACTCAGGAGCTATCTGATTCCAAGGGCAAGATACAGATCAAGACAACAGGAGATGCCCCTGGATGCAGAAGGGACCTTGGCTTTTTCAAGCTAAGGTCTCTAACAGGTCTCAGTTTAACCGAGGCAGCACCCATTCGTGATTAAGATAAGGCAAGAAATGAGGCAAAGAACAGCCTCTTTACATAGAAAAAAAAATAATCAATCTGGGAGATAAACAATTACTATTTACATTCACTCAGTTCAATTAGAACCAAAACAAAGACTTCTTAGGCTTGTGTTAGAACTTATTGCTACCCAATTAATAAGAGCCAGAGAGATCTAGGTTTAAGAAAGAAATCTAGCCTTTATACCCCAAAATAACTTGGAAGGTTTCTGTGATTAAAATTTACATTCTACCCTATGTGGATAGAAGAAGGGAAGAGGAGGGGAGGGGAGAAGGAACCAACCAGCTACTCACATGTTGTTGTTTGTCCTTCCATCTCAAAGAGGACCATGACTTTAGGAAAGTGATGACATAATTTACAAATGAACTGGATTTAAATAAAGGAGGGCTGTGGAAAATCACCAGCCTCACTTTCTCTTCTACCTCTATCTGGGTCCAATGGCAAGATCAGGAGGAATGGAGAACCAGGGGATATAATAGGGAAAAAGTAAAAGATGTGAGGGACTAGAATATAAGGAAGACAGGTCAAATGTTAAATGAGAGTATGGAATGAGAAGTTTGAGGAGGTTTTAGGTTTTACTGAAATAAGAAGTATATGAGATTTCTATGCCTGTGAATTTGTGAACACTATCTGAAGAAATGCATTTTAGAATCAGTTTTAAGATTTCTCATAGTCTCTGAGTTTTATTTCACTAATTTGGATATTATTATTGTTGTTGTAAAAAATGGAAAAACAGGTAGAATAACAATTTAAAACTGACTGTTCTATCCAATTGCAATATTTACCAAGTAAAGAATAAAGAAATAAATTTACAGCAGGAATTACCTTTGTATATTATGCAAAACTGTCCTTGAAGAACCATTCTAATGGTTCTAATCTTCACATGAAGAACATATATTCACAATTTCATCACTATGTTTATATTTTATATCTGCAATTTCCATGTTTCAGAAGTCTTCTGAGATTGCAAGAGTGCCACATTGATCTTCAGCAGCAGACTCATTAAAAGTAACAGACCCTATAATTTGAAGTGGTGGCAGTGAATTGGCCTTGAGAAAACTGAGATTATGTTTATAAAGAGAAACACTGCCCAAAAAACAACCTAATTTCGACAAAAGACTATGACATGTCAACCTTATTTCTCTTCTGACAGGGAAATATATGCTAGTGTTAGTACAATTAAGACAGACTCAAGAGAAAACAGTATCAATACACAGGTTTTCATGGTTTTCATTTCATGCAATGTTACATTATTAAAATTATTTTTATTGTATTTGTTGTACATTTATAAATACAATAAAAATAATCATATTTATTATACATTTATCAAATCTGTAGATGACACATGATTGTTAAAAATAACTACCATGTTCTCTCTCTTTTTCTTTCTTTTTTTTGTTTCTTCTTTCTTACTTAACCACACTTAAGTTAAGTCACTTAACCCCAGCTGTCTCACTTAAAAAAAAAAAAAAGAACTGTCAAAACTGAAAGGAATTTTGAGTGAGAGTTTTGATTTAAGAAACTGGGAACACTTACATAAATCTTAAAGGAAAAATAACTGTCTAGAAGGATTGTAAAATTGCAGAAAGGTTCTATTTACTATACCTGACATTATACTTTATTACACTTATTGGTTCTGCTTTTGCATTTCTAGTCTTTGCAATCATCCCTCAGCACATAGGACTTCCTTTTGTGTGTTACCTTGCTGTTCCCTTTTGGTTTTACTTGTATTCCCAGTGCTTAAAACAGTACCTGACACATTGTAAATGTTTATCATTTTGCTTAGTCCTAGATGACAGAACTAAGGAAAATTTGTGGAAGTTGCAAAAAGACAAACTTTAACTCCAACTAAGTAAATACTCCACAACAATTAGATCCCAGAGATGGAACTCAACTGCTGAAAAAGGATAACCCTTACTGGAGGTCTTCACGCATATGCCAGATAATCTTTTACTGGGGATAATATTCAGGTGCAGAACAGAATGAAGTCTGTCCCAACTTAATTGCAGAAAAGTATGTTACTAAAAATATTTGCCCTTGCACATGTCTCATAAAAACAGTTAGAGGTTAAATCCATTTTCATAATGCTAAATGAATATGGTATTTCCCCCCCTCAAAAAAAATAACATTAAATTAGGAGAAAAAAATAGTACCTTGGATTTAGGAGAAACATACTTAATATAGAAATTTAAAGTACGTCTTTGTAACTTAAAATACTCTTACACATTGACAAACTTCCAATCTATTGCTAAGTTTCACTGTAATGATAATCATAATCATGATGACCAGTTATTTATAAATATTACCACATTTAATCCTCAAGAGGTAAGTGCTATTATCCCCATTTTACAGATGAGGAAACTGAAGCAGAAAAAGACTGAGTTAGTTGCCCCAGGTCAACATAGCTAGTAAATCTTTCATACCAAATATGAACTTGGATTTTCCTGGTTTCATTCTATCCACAGTACTATCTAGATGCCTGTCAATAAAGAAAAATGCCACAGCAAATATCTGGGGTTGCTATTTTTTTTTCATATTTTTCAGTCATACCTAAGGTTTCTTTGCTTGTTATTTTTCTTAACTTTTTGTGTATGCATTTGAGTGCATTGGGAAAATACATTACTTAGGAGAAAATTCAGAACTTAAAACTGATTTTTTTTTAGAAAAGATTTTGTTTGTGTTTTCTATTAAAACCAAAACTAAGGAAATAAAAGCCAGTCCAAGGATTCAAGAAACAGATGAATAGTTTTCCATTTTCACTATAAAATACAGTAATAACATAAAATCCTGTTATGAAAAGAAAAAACATGTACAGTGCTTTGCAAACTTTTTGATGCTAATAAATACCAGATGCTACTATTACGTGGAATACAACAAAACTATAAGATGCGTATTTCACTGCTACTAAGACACTATTAAATTCCAATTTTGACAAATAAAGCCCCATACATAAATACACCTCTGAAAAATTAACCCTGCCCAAAACTGACTCTGAGTGGTCTGCCATAGTTTGTAGCAAAGTAGGCAAAAATGACAGTAGCCAAGGGTATTCATCAAGGACCTTAAAGAATTATTTTGTATGTGTGATTAAAAATGTGAACACATTTCAGTTTTTATGTTGTCTTATTTAATGAGTTTTTATCATCTTCTCATTTACAACACTACGAAAGAAATTTTTAAGTGTGAAGAGAAAACTCAATAGTATGGACTATATATTACTTTTACCGTTTATATGTTTATGAGACTTCATAAAAAATGGAATACATACATAAAAGTGGAGATATTCAAAGTAAAATTAATTTCAATTGCATAATAAAACTATTCAAAGAAATTCACATAGTACCATTTCAAAACTAAGGATAAGAAAATAAATAAAAGCAGCTTCTGGGTAACACAGATGTCATACAATACATGGGCTAAAAACTGTATACATTAATTCCCGAATAACCATCACAGGCAATATAGTCTCACATTACCTATATTAACAAACTTAATAATTTGGTAACAAACCCACAAAAGACAGAAGTAAAATAGAAAAAAGAACCAGACAAGGAAGTAAATGTGGATCAATTATTTCATGTTTAAAATGTGATATTAAATAATATATGGCATCCCTTCCATGTTTAAGTCTTTTAAGAAGGAAAAAAAAGATCTGTAAATCAATCAAATAATACCAATAATAATAATAATGGCTAACATTTGTATAGCTAAGCACTATGCTAAGCACTTTATAGTTAAGAAGGTGCTATTATTAACAAATGAAGAAACAGGCAGGCGTAAGTTAAGTGATTTGTCAATGGTCACACAGTACATGTGGCTGGGTTTGAACTACAGTACTTCTGATTGTGGCCCAGTGCTCTTTCCACTGAACCACATACAACTAACAATATTATATGAAAATAAACTATGAAAAACAAGCAGCAAAACTCCAAAAGCACAGGCTTTTATTGTTTTTTAGAGTAGAAACAAATATGACTCCCACGACTCAGACGGAATTCATATATGATATCACAGTAAGATAATATCCAAAGTTAATGATAGTAGCGTGTGATGTTGAGAAGGGCTCTTGACTTGGAATGAGAAGACTGGTTCAACTAACAGCTCTGATATCAGGGCAACAGTTTCCTCAACTATAAAATGGGATTAAATGATCTTTAAAATGAATTCTAACACTGTGTGATATTCCTTGAGTCATTTTTTAAAAAATTGTTACATTCCCTTAAAAATTCATTTTAATTTATATGCAAGATTGTCACAATAACACATTCTTGCTATCCAAGTTTTCAGGGGCATCAAAGCCAGTATTAGTTATACAATCTTGGCTAGGCTGACCAGCTTTTAAGACTTTATGTATAAAATCTATCTTTATCCATCAAATAGGCTATAGTTGATTACTGTAAAATTTTATAATAAATTTGAAATCCCATTGAGGTAATTTTTTTTAGAGAAAAATGGAAACTGAAGGGAAAGGGTAGATTAGATGCTAATCATTAGGAGATGGCTTAGGAGTGGATAGTGTTGGGCAAAAAATAATCCCATGTAAAACTATTTAAACTATGAAAGACTGAATATGAAAAGGAGAAATGAAAAAGGGAAAGGGCAAGATCTAATGTTCTAATTTTGAGCAAGATGAAAAGAAAGGAGTGGAAATTTTCTTTTCATTTTTAAAGGGGTAAAGGAAAAGGAAAAAGAAAAACAACATGCTTTTAATTTTTACAGAAAAGTTTTTTTTAATACAGAGGTAAGACAAGTCACGTATTTGCAGATATGGCACCAGTATTAGTTTTGTAAAACTGTACAAGTGTTACAAAGTAGGGTTTTACTGGGGAAAAATGAAAAGCATCAGGAAGTAATACTGATTTGAAAAAGAATATTAGTTTTTCTTCTTAAAAAAGACCATATTTTGAAAGGTCGGTGAAGGATCTTTAAGTAGACAAGTGCAAAGTAGAAATTCAAATGTCATAAAAGGTACAGATATTAAGTTATATAAAGAATGTAACAAGTCTCATGAGAAAGAGAAGGGCAACAGCTGTCTTTGGATTTCCTGTATCATTTGTACATAACTATTAATTATTTTCATAAAAGGACAGTATTATGGTTCCTCACCAGTTTGTGAAATTCTGAAAAGGATATTGTGTAACATTTTCCAAGTTTAAAGATTGTGTTTCTGATGAGGTGTTTACATAATGGCTTTATATATGAATGGGTTTCATTTAAATTAATTTTTACTATTTGATGTGTTCTGCTTGCTATATTTGTATCAGGAAAATTTCGATATGAAAATTATCACAGCTTTATACCTGTACTTAAGGGAATCAATGTAAAGAATGATATAATCATAGATTAAGGGAGAGAAAGGAATAAAAATTTATCTGGCTCTTACTATATGACATGCACTATGCCTGCATCTTTATCAGGGGTAGTTGTTGTCATTATATTAATTTTGTAATTAAGGAAATTGAGAGAAGTAAATTGAGTAACAAGTATTAAGCTAGGTATAGCATCCGAGGTCAAATTTGATCTCAGGTTTTTGTGACTGCAGGTCTAGTGCTGTTTGTATTCCATGACCCGACTATTTTTGAGGTGAAAGAAAACAGTTTCAGAAGTAGCTACTGAAAATGAGTATACACTTTTGGAAGCATTTCCTGATAGTGGGACAGGATCCTTAAATGGGGATCAGGCATAGTTTCATTACATTTGGCTATTAAATTGAATCAGTTTTCAAGGCAGAAATTGAGACTGTGTGTATGTAGTTAAATATATTAACGGACTACATTTTAATGTGATTTTATAAAACTATTTTCATTTTTAGATAGTCTAGAGAATTAGTTTAAGTTTTAAGGATTTGCTAGAAGTTTGGGCAACATTTCATGCATATTCTTAAGAAATTTAAAGATCATCTAAAAAAGCAAAAATAGGATCGTGATAAATGACTAGGAAAAGTGGAAAAGAAACTGTAAATGTTATCAAGTTCAACATCTTTTCTTTTACAGATGAAAAAAGTTACATTGTTAGGAGAGTATAATGAGTCAGGGGACTGGTGGAATATATAGTTTCCAAGTATAAGCAATGGAAAATGAATCTATGTGTTTGGGGTTCTAAATTCAAATTTTTTTTGTATTATATTTGCTTTTATATTTACCTTTGCTTTTGTATCTTTTTGTATTATATGTGTGATTTTATGTTTTGTGAAATGGAGTGTGACGTTCTATGCAAATGTTATGGATTTGTTTTCTAAATTTTATATGACAAAATTGAAATTCAAATAATATGGTGCAGTTGATAAGTGTGTAAGACTTGAGTTTAAATTTTAATAATTAAATGGGCAAGTAGTTTAATTTCCAAGGAACATGGGCAACTCTTAAGAATAAAAATTTAAGAAGGGTTATACATGTTTTTGAGTGTGAGGAAGATTTTTCAATGGGAGTTAAGTTTTTTGAGCAAGGCATGTTCACTATTTTCTAAAAGTAATTTAATTTCTTTTCGGGTTTTTTGAGAAGAATGACATTTTGGGGTATGTAGAAGCATATTCTCTGTATTACAGCCAATGGTTTATAATTGTATTGGAAATAAGATATAAATTAGATTATTCACAATTTGAGTGTTTTATTGGTGTGAACAGCTATTCTCAATCTTTAATAAAGCTTTTAGTTCAGGTCAGATAATGGGCCAAGGATCAAAAGAATGAAAATGAATAAATTTGGGCTAGTAGGATTATCATTTTTTATAAGTGATTATGTTTGTCTATTGAATGGAGATTGGGAGTAAAGAACTGAAGATATGTAGTTAATAATAAGTGAAGCATAGATTAAAGTGCGGAAAGGAGATCAGTGTGACGCACTAAGGGAAAATTGTGCAGTGAAGGTGGCAGTAAGGGGGAGGGGAGGTTTGAAAAGAGTAAAGGAAAGTGAATGGGGTGGGGGGGAGGGTTAGGGATACTAATTAATAGGGATTAGTAATTTTGGTTAAGTAGACAGATGAATGATGGGGGTTTGACAGGTTATGTGAAAAGGGTGTGGCTAAATGTAAAAAAGATTGTAGTGTCTGGCAAGCGATAAGTAGGTGAGGCCTATAATGACATTTGAAAGCATTGGCGGAAAAGGAAGAAATGTCCCGAAATGAACAGTTAAGAAAAACATGAAAAGGCCTATTTGGTTTTAGGGAAGGAAGAGGCCGGAAAGGATGGGGGATGGGTAAGAAACAACAACGTGCCCAAATCTCTTAGTAAAATTACATCAGTCAATCATTTCTTCCCCCCTACAAAAAAGTACCCATCTACGATCGTAGTACTACTCACAATCTCTCCTCTTCACCACCCATCTCGTTCATCACTGTTGCTGCGACGGCGGCCATTTTCCAATTGGTTTTTACAAAGCTACCAGGGAGCGCGCCGCTGGAAAGCTGGGCACGCGCTAACAGTCCCAAAGTTTCCACGCCTCCTTCCTCCCTTTTGAAAAATGTGGCCTTTTCGGCTTTCTTATTGGACCACGGAAACATTATTTGAAATTTGCGTGTTACGATTGGTTTCAAAAGAAAAAATGATCTGAACCAAAGTTTGTGACGACTGCTTTCCCAACTTGAAATTTTTTAAGCAATTCCAATTAAACAGTAATAAATAATAAATGATATAAACGTTCAAAGATCACTTAATGTTACACCACCTTGCTTTCGTCATTAACTGCATAAGCTCAAAAAACCTAACACTTACTTAGACTTCATTCTTATATTCCCTTTCCTCAAAAGCATCTTATGTTCAACTACATATACATGTTTTACATATATGTGTTTACATACGTTATTATGCCATTTACGAAACAAGGATCTAAGATACCTCCAAAAAATACAACTATATCAAAAAACAAAATTTTATAATGCATGCTCAAGTATTTCTTAAATCACTGTACCAGACAAACATTTAAGACAACATAAAGTATAACTTCAATTCTAAAGAAACACATAATAAATAAATACTAAAGTTTCTATTTTAACTACCAACTCCGCAGGTACTCATTCCTCATCCCTCAACTGCATTGCCACCACCTCCTCTGACATCACTATTCAATCCTTTCACAATTTTGAAACCCCATCATGTACTTTTAACTACTCTCTACAAAATAATCTTTTTTAACATTAAACACTTGTAACTATTTAGAAATTTTTGTTGCCATCTTATTATATGACCTTATCTACCAATTTCTCCTCAATCACTATAAATCAACTTAAATAAATTCCTATATGTCTCTCTCATAAAACCATTTATCCACTCCCCAACCAAGTGCCAAGGAATAAGATTGCAAATCCATAACATTATAAAAAATTTGTTCATACCTCCTTTTGATTCAAATGTTTTTCACCACATAACATCTTTCTGCATGACTTTTATACATGTAAACCATTTTGAATTCTTTGTGATATAAATAACATTTAATCTTTTATGATCACTTAAATTCCTACTTTCATTAAAAATTTAGCTCAAATCATAGTTATGAAAAGTGTTTCTTTATCTGGTTTTACTCTAATTATCTACATAAGAATACTGAACATTCAGGTCACAAATTCTAATTTTTCTTCCAATTCTTCTCACATAAGGAATTTATCCTAAACAATTTATATCTATGTCCAAAGGGATATAACACTGTTTATACCCTTTGATCCAACAATACCACTGATATCCCAAAACAAAAAATGAAAAAGAACCTATTTGTACAGAAATATTCATAGCAGCTCTTTTTGAGATGGCTAAGAATTGGAAATCAAAGGGATGCCCATCAACTGGGGAAAGGCTAAACAAGCTATGACATAAGATTGTGTTATAATATTATTGTGCCACAACAAATGATAAACAGGATGAATTCAGAAAAACTTGGAAATACTTAGATGAACTGGTGCATAGTGAAGTTAACGGAACAAGGAGAACACCATACACAGTAACAGCAATATTGTTTCATGAACTGTGACTGAATTAGCTATTCTCCACAATACAAGGACCCGAGACAATGCCAAAAGACTAATGATGAAGCATACACCTCTGGAGCAAAAACCAAAATTCTTTGAGTATAGACCAGATCATGCTATTTTTCATTTTTTCTTTCAGCTTTTTTTGTTCATCTTCTCATACAAAATGACTAAAATAGAAATGTTTTTCCATAATTGCACATGTATAACTCAAATCTAATTACTTCCTGTATCAGGGAGTAGCAAAGAAAGGAAAGGATAGAATTTAGAAAGCAAAACTTTAAAAAGAAATTTTTTTAAAGTATCTGTGTGTGTGTGTGTGTGTGTGTGTGTGTGTCTGCACATAAAATTAACAAAAAAGTAAAACAGAGACAGCTAGATGGTGCAGTGGATAGAACACTGACCCTAGAGCCTGGAGGACCTGAGTTGAAATCGAGCCTCAGACACTTAACACTAGCTACGTGACCCTAGGCAAGTCACTTAAACCCAACTCCCTCACCAAAAAAAAAAAAGAAAAATGTATGTTTTTTAAATTCTGGATTATTGATTTACATATTTCTTTAAAAATAATTTTGCAAATTATAGCTTCACAGGTATTAAGTATAATCTGTTAGGTTAAATCTTAGATATTTTGTTCATCTCTTCCCTACCTTACTTTAGTTAATGTAATTTTTAAAAAGGTCCAAATTGTTATAAAAAACTATGGACAACACATCAAGGTTTCCTAAAATAGTTTCCAAATAAATTCCTTAATTAACCTGAGACGTAACTAGGTTTCATAGTATTCCATTTCCCTAAAATAATAAAATGTGAATAGTGATAGTACCTCCCAAATTTGTGTAAATCAAATAAAATTTTAGCAAAATGCCCAGCACACAGTAGATGATTAATAAATGTTTGTTCCCTTCACTTTCCATTATATTCTTCCTTTGTAAGAGAACTTTCAAAAAGTGCCACACATGCTCTCTAAGCTTTAGCTCATTGCCTCGCTATACTTGGCATGCATTTGTGGAAGAGTAAGCCACAGAGTTTTAGAAGAACATTTTGTTCCTATTATTTTTACTGTATCCTTCTAGTAAAATACCGCAGGTTAAACTCATGTAGGAAAGAACACTATTAGGGACTCAAGTTGTAGCATTTGAAAACCACTCTCAGAGTTGCCTTAAAGGGGTGATGGAATAAGAATTTGGGTAGTAGACTATGTGCCAGGCAACATGCTAAGTGCTTTACAAATTAAATTCCAATTAAATTGTACCCCAAATTGGACACCCTATGTGTCATCGGGAGCCAAGACAGGCTCCAGCCAGTCTGTGTCAGCCTAGGATAATGCTCATACAGCTGAGGTCCTGTATAGATAAGCAGACCCTCCTATCCTCACAGTCTAGCAATTCCCAAGGCAAAAGAAACCAAAAGCTGCCATCACCTTGCTCTTCCCCATAGGGAACAGTCTTATCTTTTTTCCCACTTACCTCCATCATTCCATCCTCTCATATCATGCCCCTTCCTGGTATCCCTTCCTTCCTTTGTCCTGAAGTTATAAAAATTTAAACTTCTGTAAAGACTAAAAATCCTTTGAATTCCACATGGATGTTCATTTCTCTTGTAATAAACCCAGTTTTTACCTAAGTCTCATGACATTGTAATTGCCTTTTGACCATGTTTACGTGTATACTATAGAAATTCTTATGAAAACATATTTCAAGTTTTAGAAAATACTTCATACTATAACATTTAGCATTTTTACAACTCAAAAACCCTAACCTTAGCCCATGCTATTGGTATTATAACAAACCTTGCAACTTTGACTGGAAGACAGTTTGAGTGCTTGAATTCTTTCCAGGTGGACCTCTCTGTATATTGACATTTCAGGATTCCCAGCAACCCCAAACCACATCAGGTTCACAGTTTATATACCCTTCCAATGAAAGGCTGATGTCATCCATCATCATGCCACCCTTGGGCAAAGAAAATTTCTCTATGCCAGACCACTCCCAGCTTTGGGTGATCTAGATCATAAGTTCAAAAGTGGGTGATACTGCTCCTTAGGGAGTGCTGGAACAATTCGGGGGGGGGGGGCAGCAGTAATCTTGGGTGCAATTGGAGGGCATTGAATAAAAATAAGGGTGTGGTGGAAGCATAAGGAAAAAAGAGAAGATAAGAAAATTTCGCAAAACCATTCATACATGTTTCATCTGCTGTCTAATAGTGTTAAAGTTGTGGTGACTACATTATTTTCCAAATAAACATACAAAATATAGGTTATTACTGCTCAGTGGTCAAGTCCTTTGGAAGGTCTTAACAAGCAAGTATTGGTAGGTGAGTATGCTGGGCATTGTCAGAAGGTACAGCATGCATTGGCAGGAATGTGTGTGTAATGACTTGTTTATAATACGTATACTATACAGTTTGCAAGATGCAATATTGCATCATCAAAATTTCAATGGAGGAAAAAATTCACAAATTCACATTAAATCTTTAAATTTAAGATGTGTAGCTTTAAAATATATATATAAAAATATATATATGTTCTATTTTTTTAAAAATGATGCAAATTAAAAACAAAAACTGTTAAAGGGTTAAAGAAAGCAGGTTTCCGGGGGGTTGCTGAATAATTTTTTTGGAAAGGGGGTACTAGGCCAAATAAGTTTGGGAATGTGTGATTTAGACAAAAGGACCTGTCTCCACTCTAGCTTGAGTATAACACAATGGGAATCCCACTTTAGACTGAATTCCTTTATGACTGTGTGGATCTGACCAAGATGGAAGACAATTAAAATAATTAAAAATAATTAAAATTAGTAATTAATAATTAAAATAATCTCATTATTAGTAATGTCTTTCAAGAGATATTAAAATCAGGACTTTAGAAGAAGAGAAATTCTGAATCTCCCCCAATAAATTGGTTATTAATATTCATTTCTCACATAGGTAAAAGACTATCAATCCAGTAATTGTGTGATCAGTGCAGGGAAAAAGTGAAGTAAAGTGTAAAATGACTAATTAGCAATCCCATACATGTTCTGACAAGTTTTTAAATACCTATTTACCTTCCACAGTAGATTGTAATAATAGCTGAAAGTTAATTTACTGAATCTAGTTTTAATTTTGTCTTTGTCAGATCCATACTTGCAAGTGTCCTATGTGTCCTTTCCTGACTGAAGTTTTTCCTAGTACTTCTTAATCTTAGTACATTCCCTCAAAAACTGTTTTCAATTTATCTTGCATCCATCTGGATTTGAATACAGTTGTTTGCATATTGTCTCCCTCAATAGACTGAGCACTTTGAAAGCAAGGACTGTCTTTTGCTAGTTGACTGATAGATTATATGGGAAATAAATAAATTCCTTTCCTATCTCTCATTCATATGGTAAACTGAGCATCATTCTTTTCCCTTGGGATGATTTTAGACATGAACCATAATCT